GTGTGCGTGTGTGTGTGTGTGCATCTCTCTCTGTCGCTCTATGCATTTCCGGTATTTCCCGGTCACTGTAGCAGGTTTTTTTTTTTTTTTTTTTTTTCCCCGTCCTGTATTTGGGACAACACTCAGTGTATAATGTGTAGAGATAGAGCTATAGTGAGGGTGGCGCAGCCCTCCTTCCCTCCGGGGGAACTTTAAAAAAAACAAAAAAAATAAAATTAATCTGCTCCGGGAAAGGGAACCCTCCAAGTTCTGGTGATTTAGCTAAAAGGCAGAATCTGATGGTTATGACTTAAAGCCGCGAAACGGATGATTATGAATTTATGACTTAAAGGCAGACGCAATTAGGGGACTGTCACCTGCAGCCAGTCCAGGGTACAGTCTCCTGATGAGCAGGTGACAGCTGGATGAAAATCAAGAAAGTCTGCCGTTGTGACAGTCCCCTAAGTTCGTGTTTTTCCTTAGCTTTTTTGGCCTTTGCTTGCCTGGCTGTGTTCCTTCCCTCCCCCTCTCCCTTCCCCTGAATCCCCTCCCCCCCCTCAACCACGTTCCCGCTCCCCTCTTCTCTCCCTGCGTTTCCCCCCTCTCTCTTGCCCCTTCGGTGGCCCCTTCCCTCCCTTCCTCCCCCCTCCCCCGCCGGCACACCCGTTGTGTCTTGTCTTGCACAGACTTGCAGCAATAATTTCCCGAGAATCCCCACCGCAAATTTGCACAGTGTGTGCAGTTTGCACTGTGCAAATTTGCAAAAGTTTAAACATGATCCAATGGCAAACATGATCCAAATTCATCCAATGGCATGCATCTGTTATAATTTCCAGCACAGATGCACATTTAATTTATGTTGTTGCCGGACTTATGTGACAGAGCATAGCTTGCTTCCTGTGGTCAAGGATGGGCTGCCGTTTCACAGTGTCACTCACACAAAGAAAAAACCACGCACATAAGAAGAGACAAACCGACATACCCACACAGCAATTGAAACAGAAAGGGGAGAAAAGGTAACCACGACCGCACCGAGGGGAGAGAGAGAGAGAGAGAGAGAGAGAGAGAGAGAGAGAGAGAGAGAGAGAGAGAGAGAGAGAGAGAGAGAGAGAGAGAGAGAGAGAGA